AAGCTGGCTGTCCATGACGACTCTGGGGCTTTTGGCAGATGGTAACATTTTATTTCCATATTCATTATTTGCATAATGAATATGCAAATACAGGCAGTCCCCAACTTAGTAACAGGTTACATTCCGAACACCTGATCATAACTCGGAAATACCCTTAAATGCGCTGCCCGCGCTGTTTGAAAAACTTGATGTACATGGTTCTCAAATTGAAAATATTATAATGGGGTTAATGGCAGGTTGGTTGTAAGTACAGATGGTCGTAGTCAGTGTGTCCGTAAGTCGAGGGATGGCTGTATGAAAATAAAATGTTACTGTTCTGCCAAAAGTTTGAGAATGGGTTTGCCGGTCCGTGGTATAAAAAAAGATTGGGAACCGCTGCGCTAGACAAAAGAAAGATATTTACTTTTAATGCTAGTGACTCTGCATCTTGCCATCCTCATACATAGGAACATGCAGACATACGCTACTAAAATAAAAATCACTAATATGTTTTCTAACTTTTATCAGGGATTATCTGAGGCAGTAGGCTTCCATTGAGAATAGAGAGTTATTAATGGCAATGAGATCAACAGTTAAAAATACAGGACCTGAGGCAAAAATTATTGGACTATCTAGCATTGCTTAAGTGGTAAAGGAAAGAGCATCTTTTGCTTAACTGATTAGTCACCAATACTGCGTATTTGGTTTCCTGAGTGAGATTCAACCAAATATGTATATAGCCACGGAGCTATGAAATTCAAGCGGAGAATTGAGGTGTCAATACAAAAGAATTATATTTCATATTTTGGTGGTGGATTCATTTAAGTGAACTATTAAGAGATGATTATATTAGACTGCATTTAAAAGAGGAAATGTTACAGAAAAGGAAATTCTGCATCAGTTTCCTTTGTAGGTTCCTGGTTTTTTTAGTGAAAATGTAAAAAGCTGGCTAATATTTTGGTAACATCAGCTAAACTTATCCTCTGAGTATGTAAGCTCACCCAGTGGGAGAGGTGACACTGGAGGAAAAGTATTTGGCTGGCAACCTAATCCATTCCAGTGTCAGGACACACTTTGCATTCCAAGCATTACATCTGTTCTGTAAATAATCGCTAAGTGTGAAGGGAGACTGTGGTCAAACTGTAGCTTTAACCATTCAGCTACCTTGACCTTGTCTAGTTTGGCGAGCTACACAGTGATAACCGTGGAGTTATTTCTCTGGCAGCATGTAAAAAATATTTCTGAACAGGTATATTTATGCCTCTGTTATGATAATTTCACAGATGAGAATTAAGATGAAAAGTAGTTTGACTTTAACAGTGTTCCAGTTGCCACGTGCATCACTGTGGAGTGTTTTCCATCAATGCCTTATAAATAGAATGTGAAAAGCCTCCCAAGAAATCTTGTTTCTAGGGTCGACATATACTAGCACCTACACTGACATTTTCATCAAAAATGAACACTGTTCAGTTTGAGTTAGAGCTCTTGATTTGGTCATGTCACATCTCATAGCCTTTCACCAAGTTTGCAATGCAATTGATATAGAACTCCTTAAGTCACCTTCCAGAAGGTGCAAACATTACTTTTGCAGCCTCCTATCCAATGCTCTTTATAGTGACAGGCAGCGGAGATTGCTCATATGCTTACTGAATTGTTTCTGCACCTTCATGCAGGGAAGGGCACTCATGATTTCACAAGGAAACAAATTCATTACATTGCTAAAATTTTCCATATTTATAGTAGGCAGAGGCACAGAAGTTGGAACTTGGCGCAAGCAGGGACTGCAGCTTTTAAGCTGGCTCCCCCAGCACCGGCTCCCTCCATTGCTGTCTCTCTCTGATAGAGGCAGCTGGGGGAGAGGAAGGGGGCGGGAAGCGACTAGTCGAGTCACCACTTGACTACCCGATAAGCATTTGCTTATTGGGTAGTTAACTAGTCACTTACATCCCTAATCTACAGTCATACTGGTATTTTTCACTAATAAAACATATCTGTATATGAATATGTAGAAGCACTTCAAGCACTAAAATTTTCAAGATATAATGTTGAGAATTTTTGCATATAACCCATGAAAATTTAACAGCTTTGTCTGTCTTTGCAGCTTAATTAACATACTTGTTAGAACCCATAGTTTACATACAAGTTCCCAGGCAGCATTAACAGGAAAAAGTACATAACCACTGTCCGGTTCTATAGCCACACCAACAGCCAAAATATGAGAAATTTAAACATTGTTTCAGTATAAGTCAAGAAGAATTATGAAATAATATCAGAAATTACAGAAGAACATGATGCTATGAGAAACAGGGATTCTGGTATTTAACATAAATTGCCTATTGTAGCAGCATATGTATAAACATTCCAACTGTATTCTGATCTCAAAGTGCTTTCTGAAAGAGTATAATGGATGGGAAAAATAAGGCACAGACATAGACTTGCCCAGGCTCTCACATGAGAGGCAACAGTGAGAACTCAGGTCTCTACATTCTAAGCCTACTACTTTGTACTGGCACACGACACACATAATAGTTAATAGCTGTAATAAAGAGGAACCACCGTAAGAGACACCACTACTATATGAGACCAGTATAAAATGACATCAGTGATAAGACCACATTAGGCCTAATGCTGTAAAACACAATTATCACTTTTCTTACCTTTTATTTAGTATGCAATGCATTGAAACAATCACCATAACAACACAGACATCCAAGAACATGGGCTAAGTCAGCACACCTGAGGCCGACCATTAACTTATATTCTGAATGTAGTGACTCAATGCTGTCAATAAACCTGCCCTGTTTAAAATAAGGCATGTGCTGATCCAGTCATGGAAGAGTGGGATGCTTGATTTTCAGAGCAGGAAATGGTTAGCATTACTAAGAGGCAGCAGGTGTCTGGGATTTTGACAGCTTTGCTTTGATGCAGAATTTTGGACTTTGCTGATGTCATAGTTCAGATGACCTATCATGCTCCACAAACCCATTTACAGCTTGATGGAGTGTATTATTGTGTAATATCTGCCTAGAAGCATTACCAGACTAAATAGGATATCTTAAGGCACATTCCTGCCCAATCTGTGGAAATTTTGCCATTTACTTGAATAGAACTGAACCCATAAGATCAAATCGGTGATTTTATTACTGGAGAAAAAATGAGGTTTTAACAGTGAAGATATAGAAACTTATAAAAAATTTAATTCTCTGTGAGAAGTGCCTTAGAAATCAGACCAGCAAACACCAAAACATGCTGGACAGGACCAAAAGCCTCTGAGTGTATTGTAATAAGACAACAAAAGGAAGTACTTTATTTTTCCTCCCTTTATTTGAAGGGACATGCTCCTTTGTTGCTGATGATATTTAGCAATAATACTCAGAATTCTCTAAGGACACTCCCTTCCCATCAAAATGGATCCACTGATAAGTTTTCAACAGACTGTTTTGTGTTCTACCCCAGTGGCTCCCAACCTGTGGTCTGCAGACCCCTGGTGGTCTGTGACGGTACTGCAGGGGTTTGTGGCAAGTTTAAAAGGATTGGGCCCACCATGGGAAGAAAAAACCCCTTTCCTGCAAGATTGGTAAACCTCCTTTTTTGGGGCATAAGGATCTTGCGGGAAAACAGGTTTTTGAGCAAACAGAAAACATCCACACTGCTTGTTTTTGTGCAAAAACCCCAGCACAAAAACGGTTTGGCAGAAAATATACAAATGAGATCGCAACTCATGCAAATGAGTCCCTCATTAGCATATTTTTTGCCAAGAAAACTAAGTGTAGACGTAGCCCAGGGGAATAAAGGAGACACTAGACAGTGTGAAAATTTGCAGGTGGAATAGAGGGTCTGGGGAGAGGGTTTTGATAAACCTTTGCCTGATATTTGTACATTCATGGTGAACCAATACATGTCCTACAAGAGGTCTTGAGGAAAAGGGTCCTAAGATTTTATATTAGGGTTAAGACAATAAAACCAACACTTTTCAATCCTAACTGGTTCTTTTCTGGGAATAGAGACAAGGCCTGTAAATCCTAATCCTCAGTAGGCAGTAACAGAAATAATGATATGAGCAATTTCTGGCCAGAGTACCTGTGCCTCCAAAGTATCCTTCAAGTTTCCTCTTCAGTACTGAACATATTAAAAGTCATGATTAGATGAATAAATCCCACATAAGTAGCTGCTTGTGACTGAACAGCCTTCAAGTATCTGGGGACATTGGTCCTTCCCACCTTCTGTATTTTTTTCCTTACTTTTTTGTTAGTTTATCTTTGGCTGAGATGTATAGAGGCCTTCAAGCTCCAATGTCCCCAAAATTTTTTTAGTATTAATAATTTTCTTTATTCAAGGTTACATTTTAAAGCTATCTTCTGTTAAAAGTTTCGGTTTTTTCACCTTTCATGAATTTATTTGAGAGTACTGCAGTACTGTTTAGTTTTATTAGTGGTTTTGCATTGGATGTTTGTGTTATACTATTTTTAAACAATATGAGTCTGCTTTTTCTTTTAAAGTAATTGCCTAATAAATGAATACAAGAAACTCTCACTATCTGCATAGCTTAAAGGACTGAGGCTACATCTAGACTGCATGGGGGTTTTTTTTTCAGAAAAAGATACGTAAATTGCTATCTTTTTCCACCTTTTTTTTCGGAAGAGGCTTTTCTGAAATCTACATGGGGCAAAATTTTGGAAAAGCTTCCTTTATCGTAAGATCCCTTATTCCTCTCACTGAGAGGAATACAGGTATGCTGAAAGAACAAGCCCACTTTTTCGGAAACTTCCGAAAAAGTGGATGCGTTCCCTGGACGCGGCAGAGGGAAAGCTCTGCAGTCTAGACATAGCCAGAGAACATAGCCTAAATTTGGAATTTCAAGAAACTTCTGAATTTCACATAACTATTGTTGAGATAACTGGGTTTACCACCAATAAAACTACTTTAGTATTGTCATTTGATTAGTAAAGAGATCCTTTGGTCACAGCTGATTGTCTATTTATGTTGTGAGTTTGTGATATGAGCCCTGCTCTCATTCTCAGGTATGGTAACAACACTCGTAACTATGCCGTGCGAGTTGGGGATTATCACACACTGGTTCCTGAGGAGTATGAGGAGGAAATTGGAGTCCAACAAATTGTGATGCACAAAGAGTACAGGCCTGACAGTAATGACTATGATATTGCACTAGTGAGGTTGCAGGGACCGGAAGAACAGTGTGCCAGATTCAGCACCCATGTTTTACCAGCCTGTTTGCCACTGAGGCGAGAGAGGCCACAGAAAACTGCTCCCAACTGTTACATCACTGGATGGGGTGACACAGGTAAGAGTGACATATATACGAATTCATCCAAATTTTCCTCTGCTTCACCCACAACAATTTGAACTATTTCTTAACAAATTGTTCAATTTGCTATTTCTAACATTAAAAGGTGGAATAATTGTTACCAGGTTTCCTCATTTTTAGATAGGAAAAAAGTTTGTCCCTATACAGGACTAAAAGCACTAATTTCTTTTAATGTAGTTTGTGCTTAAAAAAAAAAAGTGTAATTGTCTCTACCCTTATCTCTTCATTCTCTCAGACTAGTGTTAATTACACTAAATCATTGTTATGTCATCTATCCACTCTTATAGCTTCCCATCAAATTGGGGTCCACACTTTCACTTTCCTTTAAAAATCACATTAGCTATGCCATATTTAATCTTATGAGGACCAAAAATACTTTTACTGATTTATTTAAATGACACCTGGATGTCAAATGACAAATGGTGAGAATATGTAATGGAGAATCAAGTGCATGTTATTTTTCCTCTCTTGCTGCTACTGCCATTTCCCAAATCTGAAATTGCAGCAGCAAAGATCTGAGTTAAAGATACAGGGGAGGCAAAAAAACTACAATCAGACTTTTAGATAAGGAGCAGGACCTGTTACTCTACTGGGTATGTACAGGAGTTTCTTTTCCAGAGGGCTCTGTTCCTTCATAAAGAGCCACGATTTACTTTTATGTTTTTATTGGGTTAATGACAGAGGCTTTCCCTGCTGTTGCCATTGGCCGGTGCTACCTGGCAGTGGTCTCGGTGGTGCCCAGCGGGGAAGCAGCAGGCCACACTGCCACCAGGAGCCCTCTAGTGCTGCCACAGCCTGGCATCCAGCCCCACCCATAGGGAGCCAGCTCTGCTAGATGCCCTGGCATCTTCCCACAGGCCCCACTGCTTCCAGGTACTACATAGGGAAGGCACCACATCAGTAGCTGGGGAAGCCCTGGATGTGGCAGGACTGGCACTGTCATGCTGTGGGGCTGGGGAAGCATCCAGGGGAGCCCGGAGGCCTTTCCCGCATAGGACCCACCCATCCTGCCTTCCGCTCAACAGTGCGGGCAGCTGCATTTTCAAGGCAGGGAGAGCTGCTCTGTAGGGCAACTGTGCTCAGCAGGGCTCCTCCAGAAGCCAGGGGAGGGGACTGCCTGTTTCCCCAGGAAGTCAAGGGGTGTATGTGCAGCAGAAGGAGCAGAACCACTAGGGGACTCTGTCCCCTACTTTCATCCCTCACTGAAGAGCTGGTGTAAACAGAGAAAAACTTCTGTATTGCATTGTGCCCAGTGCCCCCCCACTCCCTAGCTTTTTGCAGAGGTAAAGAACAAGCTATCTGGAATCTCAGGATTTCCTGTGGTGACAAGGTACCATTTGGGTTGCCATAAACACAAAGCCAGTGCAGAGGACAACAGAAGAGCCACCCAGCGCTGAAGTGGGTAGCAATTCTAAATATTTGGTTTTGTTTAGAAACAATAGCCTGTAGGAACGTGCTACTTCTAGTAGCAATTTCTGATAGGAATTATAGTACCATAGCAATATTATACTAGTAGCAGTCTTACAAGGGAGCATCTCTCTACAAACCACCTACCAATGGTAGCAACGTGAAGCAGGTAAGTGTTGGTCCTCATGCCCAGCCCCCTGCACACCAATCCCCCTCTCTAATTCCCTTCCCTCACCAAAACCCCACACCCCCAACTTACTCCTGCACCCTCCCTGCCCCAGCCAGACTCCCTACCTTAAGCCCCCTCCTTTGCTCTTGCTCACTCCGCCCCAGCCAGACTCCCTATTCCTAGCCTGATTCTGCACACTACCACCCAGACTTCACACCCTCACCCCTCCAGTACCCCACCTCCTGCGCAGATCCTGCACCCCATCTCTATCCCACTTGCTAGCAGCTGTCATACACATGAACCCCTAATTTTTCTGCCTACCCGAGCCTAAGTCGTCCACAAAATCCACTAACTCCGGAACCCCAGAAAGATAATTCTGGCGTATGGGAAACCCTGAACCTCAGTCCTTCCTGTACCTTTCCCTTGCCCCGTGGGGCTGGAGTGCCAGAGGAGTGAGGTGTCTCAGTTGGGGGCCATATCAGTGAGGGTTGGGGCTTTTTGCTTCTCATTTATGTGATCCCCAAGTGATTTTTCTGTGAGTCAGTGGCCCACAACCCAGAAGATGTTGCCCATGGCTGCCGTAAAGAAAACACTGAAACCTTTTGTATTGGACATAAATAAATATTTTACTTTATTCAAAATAAATTGATAAACATGAGAAAATTAAAATGCTTAACCTGTTTAATAATTTAAATTAAACTGTTCTCCCTAGCTGCAGCACTAGCAAAATGGCTTGGGCATAATTATGTAATTAACTGTGAGTTTCCATTAGCAACTGGAGCCAATGTCCACAAGCCAGAAAGTTTGAGAACCACTGTCCTAAATGGTAAGAGTTAGGCTCACCTAATTTAGTATGCACCTTCCTCTTATCCTAACTTAAATCAAGGTCAGGGTTTGGTTGTAAGAAAACAGGATGTGCCGGGAATGTGACTGTTTTCCATAACACAGAAAGGGCAAGGAAAGGAGAGAGGGAAAGGGAGGAGGAAGAGAGAGGAGGAACAGGATACTGAGAGTGGGCACTTGGGCAGTGAGCCAGTAGGGGAGAGCAATATGCAGAGTGGCCCTGAGCCTCTCCTCACCTCCTAGCCCTCACTTTCACTCTCCCTCACAGCCTTCTGCCCTGCCACCCCCACATCCCTAAGATCCTGCCCAGACTCCTACACTGCCAGTTACCTACCCTGGAGGACTCAGGCAATGCTGGGTAAATCTTCTGGTTGAAAATAGAGAATAAAAAACCAGGATATGAGGTCTGCAATACTGTGCATATTTTGCCAAATAAAACCCACCTCTTAGCATTTTATGTAATTCACTATACAAGAGTTCTGAAGAGATACTACTTAGTTTAGTACATCTATTTAAATGAAAAACTAGCTACTTCAAATCCTACTTTAAATGCAATAAATTACATAATTGCACCATTTACTGAGATTTTCAATGTTCTGTGCAGTCAAGTTTGTCATACAAGGATAATTAAGAATTTTTTTAAAAAACAAAAAATGATGTTTCCACTTTTCAGAGAATGATAAGGCTTATGACTTTTTATGATGTGTTATAGAAAAATATTTAAATGACTTCAAATATGGAATCTTGCTTGGACCTCTACTAGAGTGAAATACAGTAACTAGTGCTGCCAATTCATTGCAGTTAACTTGAATGAGTGAAATAGCAATTTAAAACTGTCATTAACTGCTTTGTTTAACAGTAATATTTATTACTAGACTGAGCTCTGGAATCTGGAGTCTTATTTATACAGTAGCAGCATAGTTCCCTGTAAGGTGTGCACCTGCGCAACCATGCACAAAAATTCTCCTGCTGGAAGGTGAGTGGCATAGTGGATTTCTGCTCCAGCAGCAGCCACGTGGGCCCAGCTGGCTGGGCCATGTGGCGGGCTGCTGCCCCATGTGCTGCAGCTGAAGTCAGGGCTGCAGTGAGGCTGTCCCTACTGGGGAACCTCACTGCATTCCCCATTCCAGCAGTCATCACGTGGCCTGGCTGCCCCATGTGCTGTGGCTGGAGCCAGGGCCACGGGAGTCGAGAACGCATATATTCCTCTGCTATTGCAAAGGCAAGGTTCCTCCAGCTGCTGCTGCTTTAGGGTCTCACAGCAAAATGGCTGCTGCCAACTCTGATGCAAGGCATCAAAGTGAGTCGTATTTTACTAGTGTAAAGCCAGCAAGGGCAACCGAACCCACTCCAGGTTCAGCAAGGGCCCTCAGGCAGGGCAGCAGGGAACAGCACACAATGCAAACTCAATGCAACAGCAACCATACACCCCCCTTCACTTGCTGCTCAGCTGCCTACAGGGATGGATCTTATAGTCCAGAGCAGAGCTCGCTCTTCATACCACAAGGGCAGGCAGGCTTCCGGCTTGCCTGCCTGGCTCTGTGGAGCTCAGGAAGCCAGGAGCAGGATCTGGGCCCTGCCCACTTGTACGGCAAAACCAGGGGCTGGGTTGCACTTGAGGAGCCCCCCGGATGCTGCCCACCTGGAGCTTATGCAGATACAAGTTCCCTCAAGTCTTGGCCCCACGGGCAGCTTGGGAGCACACTCCAGTCCCACCACACCCCTGCTTGGCCCAGCGGTCTTTGGACAGCCACAAGCAGATACCTGCCTCTCGTGCCCCCCACAACTTTTGTCTGTCCCTTCCCCAGTCAGGGTGGAGCTCAGCTGTGTTCTCCTCTTCACACCCCTGTAGGAAAGCAGTTGCCTACAAGCCCCAGCAGCCTGTGTGCTTCCACCTCACTTGTAATTGGAATGAACCAGCCCAAAGGTGGCTGGGGCTTGTCATCTGAGGATCAGGCTGAGCGAGGACTGAAAACGTCTAGTTTGGCCTAGCAGAAGTCAGGCTGGGCTTCAAGAAGGACCACATACACTGAGAGTGACTTCAAGTTGCCTGTGAAAGTGGCAGGTATAAAGGCTATAACCTATTTCCGCACTGACTAAAATACATATCCAGTGTAGAAAGGAGTCTCACTCAGGAAAAAAAAATGTAAATGGAGCACCTGGTCAGGTTTTAATTTCGGAACACTGACACTAGTGCTGAGGGGTTTTGGTACAATAAGCTTAGTAAAAAGAAGATGGAAATCAGTGTTAATTTGAGACGGTTTTTGTTTCTGGATACTTCTTTCATCTCTAGCCAGCTGTGTGTGTTTTGGCTAGAGCCAGGGCCACAGTGAAGAGTAGGGTACATATTGTGACTGGGTCAGAGAACAATTGGGGAACATAGGATTGAGCTGCAAAGGCACAGGGAAATCAAGGCGATAATGATGATTTGGGAGATGTATAGAGTGGTTTTGAATGGACAGGAAGAATGATCAGGTATAGGGTGGAGGGTTGCAGTGGCCCAGAGCTTGCTCAGATTCATGCTGATCTGGAGTGGGAGTAGAAAAGAAGTAAACAGTCAACTATGGCTGCTGACACCAAACTCATAAGGAAACCTACAGCAACAATTACAATTTGAGGAAAATCAAAACTTATGCCACATCGCCTTTAGTTCAGACTTCTCTTTTATATTGGGTATGTTTTAGCCTTTTTTATGTTGGTTTTTTTCTATTTTTAATAGAAAAATCAAACTTCTTTCATCCTTGGACCCCTAGCGTCACTCCAGCAACCATTCCATAAGTAGAATCTTCTGGAAAAAAAGTCAGGGCAACAAAAACTAGGATACTTGTCTCTAATAACATTTTACTGATTTTGTTCTGTTCTATGTTCAAAAAGTTTCTAGTAAATTGATTTGCACAAAGGTATGACTTTAATTCTTCCTTAACTACCTCGTTATTGTTTTTGTCTGTAAGCAGATTTTCTGTAAAGACAACTGTTTTTGTATTTAATTTGTCTGTTCTTTTGTTTGGTGTAGTATAGTTGTTTTAGTGTGGCACAATATAACAATAATAGAAGTCAGCCTTGGTATCACCGAGTACCTGCCCAGACTAAAGTAGCTTTCAGACACCTTATGATAGTCTTCATTTGTAATTCTCCCCCTTTCTGCCCCTTAGATTTTCAGCTAGGAAAGTATGCTCAACTTGTTCCTCCTATCATATCAAAATACATATAAAGCACAATCTAACGCTATGGAATAGCTGTTAAAAGGAAATTAGATACATTTTAGGAATTATTATGAACAAAGATTCCTAATGTTCATATAAACTAAGATTAGCTTATGTTAATGGAGTCTGCAAACATATAGTTTACAAGGCAATCCCGAAGAGACAATTTAAATGTGTATGTTAATGGAGGAAAGTTTAGATACCCAGTATCTTTTAAATAACTTCGTCACCTCCGCACAGGGACCATGCAAATTTTACATAAGAGATCATCTAGTCCAGCTGGGGGAGGGGCTGGGAGACGGCTATAAACACATCAAGTTAGCTACTGAAAATTTTGCAATATTAATTTTTTTCTTTGACTCCATATAAAAAACATTTAAAGTCATGCACTTTGTTAATTATCCCTTGTTCTGTTATTCTTCTATAACATTTTAAAAGATATTTATAACTTGGGGGTTATGGTGGTGCACATCCAAACAACCACATATGACCTCAATATTGGTGTACAAGACAAAACTCGCTCCACTCATGGATGGAAAATCTGAGGGAACACTGAGTAGGCAGTGCTAACTTCTTTACGCTGTCAATTCTAATCCTTCACAGGGGTAGCCGAGTTAACTTAGGAAAAAATTAAACAAATTGTCTGGTAGCACTTTTTTTCTTGTTACAGTGTTTTGTTAGTCTTTATAGTGCTACCGGACTATTTGTTGTTTAAGTTTTTTCAATTCTAATCGCGAGGATCATTTTTTGGGAAAATAGAGTACAGGTTCATCAATTGCATGTCCCCAGGGAGAGTATTACATAGGGATAGTAATTTTTTGTAAGAGCAGCTTTATAGATAGTTTACTAAGAACCAGCATGGAAAGCTGAAACTCATTTGATATAAACACAAGCAGCTTGCTAAATGCTAAAGACTTCTGATAATTACCAAGTAGGCTGGTTTTGAATAGTGTTCTAAATGTGAAGATCTCTTCTGCCAATAGCTCACTCAAACCATCTAAAAACAGTTTTTCCATTACATTTAAGTGTTACAGGCTATATTTCTGTAGAATCAATTATCTAATGCTGCTAAATCTATTGTCTTGCTTACAATTTACTGTCTTTTCAAAGGAAAAGATGTATTTTCATCTTTTTTACTCATTGCTGGAACACTATAGTAATGTTTAATAAATACAGTTAAATCATACCTATCTAATCATGTATCAAGTTATTTTGGTCTTTCTTTACAGGAAGGGCCTATTCAAGAACATTACAACAAGCTGCCATCCCCCTACTTCCTAAGAAACTGTGTGAAGAGCGTTATAGGAGAAGATTCACAGGGAGAATGCTCTGTGCTGGGAACCTCCAGGAACAGAAACATGTGGACAGTTGTCAGGGAGACAGTGGTGGACCACTTATGTGTGAACGTCCAGGCGAAAACTGGGTTGTGTATGGGGTGACTTCCTGGGGTTATGGTTGTGGCATCAAAGACTCGCCAGGAGTCTACACCAAAGTCTCATCCTTTGTACCGTGGATAAAAAGTGTGACCAAACTGTGATCATCCCGACTCAGAAACAGTAAGCATTAATAAAAGGAAGTCTGTTTGAGTCAGATATGGCAGCTTGAACACCACAGCCTATGCACAGCTGGGACCCACACTGGGTAGAAAATGCACATGTTCTTCTGTTTTACATTTTTTTTAAAATTTTTGTTGAGTCAAAGATTTATATTCACACTACTTTTGTAGTTATAGATTAATGTGTAATTTCTTTCATGTTGAGCAAAAGTGTTCCACTTAACTCCTTTAATCTTAAAAAAGGCATAGTCCTATTCTCTCAAGTACATTTCAGGTATAAGCAAAGCACATTTGTCTCTGGAACATTCTTGGTAACAATTCTGCACACTTCAGTAGAGCAGACTGACTGTTACACATGCTAATAAAAACCTAATACTGCGAAACATATGTCCTCACAAGCTAGCATTCCCGCCTTCCCCACCTTGCACAATGTCCAAGTACAGTAAAACTCCAATTGTCCAGCATCCAGTGGTCTGGCACTCCCGATAGTCCGGCACCAACTGGAACCCGGAAGTGCTCCCGCCAGCCGGACAATTGGAGCTGCTCCGTGCCACTTCTTCAAGTCTGTTGCTGCCGCTGCTGAAACTGACCAGCTGCGGACTTGGGGAAGCGGTGCGGAGCAGAGCAGCTGGGGCACAGCCGGGTTGGTCCCGCAGCGCCACCCCTCACCCCCTGCTCACCGCCCAGCCGCATCCCAGCTGCTCTGCCCCAGGGCTTGCCCAAGTCCGCCGCTGGTCAGTTTCAGCAGCTGCAGACTTGGGGAAGCCGTGGGGGAGCAAAACCGGGGTGGCCCCCGGGTTGTGCCA